GACGTTTGGTGTCGCCGTGGCTAAACTTTGCTGCTTTATGTGCATACACATTACCTACTTAAAGCATGATTAACGATCAAAAGTCTTGCAGAACTTACCGGCACTGTTTACCGGATGTAAGATGTAATAAAAGTTATACCGTTGGAATAAAATTAAAAGTTCCCTCAAATGGTTTTAAACAAATTGGCAATAATAATTTACACAAAATGTAACCTCGTTGTATCCTAAACGCAACTATAATACATGACAATACATGTCGCAACATAATTAATACATGTCGCTTTTCCTCCCAATTTAATCCCTCACCCAGTTTGTGCGATTGGCTTTTTTCCTCGACGATATCGCCCAAGACGACTAAAACATCGAGATTCCATGTCGAAGCACTCAACTGATATTAAGTAATTAAGCGGAGAAAGAGGTTTGCGACAGGACTCTGGGGAGTTTGGTGATTTAGATACGATTTGGGACAAGGCCCGAAGAGACTTCCCTCGTTGAATAATTTCCGTCAAGAAGAGCTGCTGGTTTTTAGAGAAACACCAAAATTTCTGTTGTCACAAATTAATATATTCAGCTGTATGATTCATGCGGTTGGACGAGTTTGGATTCGAAAACCTCGGGCTAACCCACTTTTTTTTCCAATACTTTTCTTTCTCGTTTTTCCGATTTTGTTGTAAATCGTTGAATCGAACCCAGTCTATACGCCATTAGATTTTCCATGCCGCTGAATTTTGAAAATGAAATATTGTCTATTAATTTATTATATTATTTTTCTGAATAAGATGATAAATAAATATCTATAAAAGATTCTCTATGATTAAAGTTCACATAAGCCTGATCATATTCAGTCTGGTGTATGATTTCATGTATCCTTCTACTGGCCTCATTTGGTTGTCATGGCATATAAAGCTTGATTTTCATGGTTACTGTGCAAATTTTAGGCTTATTTTCGCTGGCTTTTAGGGTAAATTTTAAGCTTTGTTTTCTTGCTGATTAGGCATATTTTAGGTATAGTTCATTGACAAATTTTAGAATTATTCATTTTCTGCTATGACAGATTTTAACTGTAGTTTTCTTGGTTGTTAGGGCAGTTTTCAGTTTGTTGTTTCAGGTTTCGTTTGTTGTTAATGAAGATTTTAGCTTAGTTTCTTATCGCTAATTTTAGACTTACAAATTTAGTTCGTTGGTTGCTAGGCAGATTTCCGGTTTGGTTTCATTGTTTATTAATGAAAATTGTAGATTTAGTTTGGTTGGTTTTTTGTGCCCAAAAAATGGCTTTTTGCCCTGTAAGAGGACCAGAATTGACCAGAACACAGTCTTTGGACGATTGGTCGGCTGTAATTTTTACGATGAGTGAAGATTTGCTCTACGATCTCCAGATGGGCGTGAAAGAGTGTGGAGAAGGCGAAATGAAAGGTACGAAGCCGTAATTTTTCCCAGACCAGAGCCGACCTTTTCAACATAGCTCAGTGATGCTGTGGGCGGGATTTTCAATGGAGAGTCGCAGTTGGTCGTCATTGGTGGAGAGTCTTTGACGGCCACTCGCTATGTGGATGAAATTTTGCAACATCGCGCTTTGCCTAAATGAAATCAGCGACAATCCTAATGCCCGCCCGCACGTCTCTCGCATAGTACAAACGTACTTTCAACAGCATAACATCAGGTTCTTAGCCTGACCAGCCCATTCTCCAGACTTGAACCCCATCGAACATTTATGGGATAACCTCAAAAGACAAATTAGAGCACGTCCACCACTTCCTGATACACTCCACAATCTTGAGAGGACTCTTCGTGAAAAATGGGCTAACCTCCAGCAAAGAGACATTTCCAGACTGGTCGAAAGTATGCCGAGGCGTCCTCGAGATGCAATTATGGCAAAAGGAGGATATACCCGATATTGAAATGATAATTAAAAATTTAAAACAAATTTTATATGTCCGTTTTTAATTTTTTTTTCATTTTCCGTAGCAATTTACATTTTTTTAACTTTCTTAGGCAAAGACTTCAATTATTAAACGTTAAAAAACGTTAAACTATGATTAATATATAAAAGCATGTACAAATCAAGTTATATTACAAGTGGGTTGAATTTTTTGCCTGTCAGTGTAGTAAATAATAAATTATTATTCCCCATTGCAGCTGAAATTGGCTAGTGTGATAAAGTGAAATTAAAATAATATTATTTCATTACTGTTGATTGGTTGAATGCATTTTTAATCAAATAACCAGGTTTTGTAATTTAAAAAACTGAAACACTCTTATTAACAATTTTATCGAATAAAGAAATATCCAAATAAATATCTGGGCCTTTTTGCCTTTTGTACTTTTTATCCAAGAATAATAAGTCCAGGACGTCATGGACACAAAAGAACGAAAACAGTCACTTTTTTCTGGGACCTCTTGTTGTTTTAGAAAAAGCGGGCAAAAAGCCCGAATTGGACATATTACAGGCGGCAAAAATCATAAAGCCGGCCTGTATTGCGAGAACCTTGTGAAAAACTGTTTCCCCGCGGTGGGAAAGTGGGTTTGACGAGTTGGAAGTGACAGAATAAACGGGAGATTTCATATTTGCCGTCCTTTGGGGACGCTTACAGCCGTCGGAGACGGCCTACAGATGGATAAGAGTTTATCACCCCCGGGGGATGACGCAAGGGTTCAACGAATGATGATTGCTTTTTTCCCCCTCAGCGATTTCTTTACCTGCGCGATCAGCCAGGTGTGATTTTTCCTGATGTCATACGAATTTCTTTATAATAACTCAAAACCGGCAGTACGCGAGGTAAATTCGTGAACAAAACGTCAAAAGATCACTTATGGGAATGTAGCTCGTGGATTTTAGATTATGTGTGATACGCCGCTGCTCTACCAATTGAGCTATCGTGACTTCGATCCTTACAAATAGAAAAAAAAAGTTCGTTGGTTTAACGCTATTTAACAAACGCCTTCTCTAATATTTAAATACTACATATTTCGGATAAAGTCACGTGTAACATTTGAGGGGTCGTAAAGTGAGCAAAGAGGAGGCTACTGAGTAAATATTAGAGTACAGAAGGAAAGGTTAAGTGGAATGTAAGGTTGCTGGTTTTTGCAATAACAGACAAAAATATAAAAAATTCACCTTTGAGATTAGTATGCATCAGACCACACTATTCACAACAATTAATTAAGGTTTTTAGTCGAGATAAAAAAGTCAATGCCACGAGCGGGATTCGAACCCACGAACTTCGGCTTGATACGCCGCTGCTCTACCACTTGAGCTATCATTTTTCAAACCTTAATTAATTGTAATATATTAATTTGTCAAGCGGACTATCGTGACTTCGATCCCCTCAACTTCAGTTTATCTCAACTTAAAACCTTAATTAATTGAATGTTATTAATTGTTCAAACGGACCACGAAACTAGTGAATTTCACTAAAGCTCTCCGTGGCCATTTCATTTATCGCCGAGAATCAAAATAATTTGAATTGAATGGCAAAAAGGAGGGAAAACTCATAAGGTGGGCTTGAGATAGGAAGTTGATGTCCGAGTGGATCGAGGTTACGATAGCTCAAGTGGTAGAGCAGCGGCGCATCTAGCTGAAGATCGTGGGTTCGAATCCCGCTCGTGCCCTTGACTCTTTTTCATCTCAACTAAAAACCTTACTTAATTGTAACTAATTCACTATTTTCGTGGTCCGCTTGACCAATTAATACATGACAATTAATTAAGGTTTTTAGTTGAGATGAAAAAAAGTTAATGGCACGAGCGGGATTCGAACCCACGACCTTCGGCTAGATACGCCGCTCCTCTACCACCTGAGCTATCGTGACCTCGATCCACTCGGACATCAACTCCCCATCTCAACCCCACCTTATGAGTTTTCCCTCCTTTTGCCATTTTTCATCTCAACAATAATGACAGTAAGCGTACTGTAAGGTGTAATACTGTGAACATGTCACGATCGACCTACGAAGGATAAACACATTTTCTATATGCTGCAATGCCCCTATCCTACCAGCTAATAAAACTCCTGGCCTAGGAAAAATGAATCTACGAACCTACACACATCTCTGAAATGATAAGAACAAACTCTTATGACTATTTAAAACTCTCCTGGATAAAACAAACGCAAATTACTCCGAACTTTCCTCCATGCTCCATTCTCTTTCTATGTATCCAATGTCCAAAGGTAAATTAGTATCCAATAAGTCTTTGAAATAGCCAAAAACAGATATAAGAAATAACACAAATGATTACCATGTCCCGACGATTGAAGCGTCACTGTCCTCACATCTTTCTAAGTGTCAGGGAGTAATTTATTTAAATTTTGTCGTACTTATACAAAGTGATATCAACTTTAGCGCAACCTTTTGGCGCAGGTGTAAATAAATTAATTAATTAAAAAATGTGTGTTTTTTTTAAAGATCCTGAAACAATATCATATTAAATAATAGGTTCTTCTAAAAGTTTCAACATAGATCTATGATATGATCAATTAATATAAAACTCACAAATACATGTATAGTTCATTTAGTGAAAGTATAATTTTGAGCTTTTGGTTTAATTCGTTATTTCCTTCCTGCTGTCCTGCGAAATGCTTATTCGCTGCATGTCACGTTCCGGTCTAAATATCTCATATTCATTTCGCACATAATAGCATTCCAGGAATTTCAAAAAAAATTTGTATTTAACTTATTAAAGTTATAATTTTATATAATTTACCGTAATAATTATGGTAGTTTAATAGGCTACAGAAACAAAGTGTGATATATTAGTATAAAACGAACAACCCCAAAATAGCTTAGTTTGTTTTTACTAATGTTTTTTTTTTTCTAGCAAACCTTTATATTTTCGGCAAGAAATTTTTTTTGAATTTTACCTCTTTCAGTCATGATGACACGTTCACTATGAATTTATTGCCACATTGTTCTGTTTTTTGTACCGACGCCGTCGACAAATTGGCCGGCGGCGGTGGTACGTGCTCAAAAAGTGACGATGATAACCGAGCAATGATGTTGCAGATGCAGTGCGGATGAGGCGAGGCACGTCGTCATGGAGACAGCTTTGGGCGACAACAGGATTTGAGGCCGGTCGGGTGGGATATTAAAGAATCTGCACAACTTCCTAATATTTTGTAAATAGTATTTATTACTTTTTGATTTTGTTTCATTTGAACATTCCATTAAAGAGAGAAAAAGAGAGAGAGAGAGAGAGTGAGAGACGAAAGAAAGCCTGCATTATCAGCTCAGGTCTATCCTATTTTTTGTTAATGATAAAAAGTATCTCAAACGTAGCATTGTGAAATTAGGTGGTATTTAAAGAATAAATTTTGTACAAATAATAAATTTATAAATATATATGTTTATTTTATTCTTACCCTTTACTTATGGTTCTATTTTAATGTCATTCTGCCTGACGTTGGTATGTGATTTTTTTAATGAAAACCAAAATGAAAATCTTATTTCTCCTATTGCATCTGAACAAACAGGTACTATATATTTTTAATTACTTTATTTTTAATTACTACTGAATTATTTCTCAATAAAACAATGGGAATAAGGTTTTAGAATGAAATGTAGTATATTTTGACACAAGGATTTTTAAAAAAATAAAATTAGTCTTCTGTGAGGGTGTAGAGAAAATAATCCTTTTCACTTAGTCGTCCTTATTTAATTAAATATTTGTTCAGCTGCGTCTTGGGCCAAATGAGCGGAGATTTTCGTTCAAAGGTCAAGGATTTTCAGTAGACGTAACAAAAATATCGATTCCATCATAAAATAAAGCCGTTTGTTCTCTTTCACACGACATTTTAGAGCCAATCAATTTATCCACACCTGTTCAAACAATTCATTTTCAAAAAGGTACAAAATGACAAAGGTTCAGAAAAGACAGCGATGATGGATGAAAACCACGTTTTTCGTGTTGGAATAATTTCTGAATCGTTGAAGCTTTTATAAAATCCATGTTCTTCTAACAAAATTGTCTTAATAATTATGTGCAGTTAGCATAAATTGTATTATTTTATTTTACAAGGACGAGAGGCTAAGTGTAAAGAGTATTCTAATTTATGTGGTCTCTTTTTGGAAATCCAGCATAATTTTTTAGTAATATCACGTATGTAGATAAACTAAAGCATGATTAGATTTCTAGGTGAGGACTTTGAAGTGATAAATGTGTAATTATAATCATTGTTCGGTCATTAGTACATAAGTAAAATAAATGATTCACGAAATAACCCACATTGCCATAATAATTATGCGCATTTAGCATAAATTGTATTATTTTATTTTACAAGGACGAGAGGCGAAGTGTAAAGAGTATTCTAATTTATGTGGACCCTTTTTTGAAATCCAGCATAATTTTTTAGTAATATCACGTATGTAGACAAACTAAAACATTATTAAATTCCTTGGTGAGGACTTTGAGGTGATAAATGTTTAATTATAATCATTGTTCGGTCATTAGTTCTTAAGTAAAATACATGATTCACGAAATAACTCACATTGTGATAATAATTATGCGCATTTAGCATAAATTGTATTATTTTATTTTACAAGGACGAGAGGCGAAGTGTAAAGAGTATTCTAATTTATGTGGTCTCTTTTTGGAAATCCAGCATAATTTTTTAGTAATATCACGTATGTAGATAAACTAAAGCATGATTAGATTTCTTGATGAGGACTTTGAGGTGATAAATGTGTAAATATAATCATTGTTCGGTCATTAGTACATAAGTAAAATAAATGATTCACGAAATAACCCACATTGCCATAATAATTATGAGCATTTAGCATAAATTGCATTATTTTATTTTACAAGGACGAGAGGCGAAGTGTAAAGAGTATTCTAATTTATGCAGTCCCTGTTTGGAAATCCAACATAATCTTTTAGTAATATCACGTATGTAGACAAACTAAAACATTATTAAATTCCTTGGTGAGGACTTCGAGGTGATAAGCTTGTAAATATAATCATTGCTCGGTCATTACTACTTAAGTTAAATACATGATTCACGAAATAACCCACAGACCAAAATCAGGCTTCCAAAATATAAATATTGTGAGATTTCTCCGTTTTCAGTTGGGTGATCAACTTGAAATTAGGTGGTTTCATTTTTTCTTAAAATCGATAGATACCAGTCACCACGAAGAAATTACATAAGATATGAATTTATTGGGATCTGGTCGTTTTTGTTTTGCAAAACCTCACGTTCAGCATATCATAAATTATGGTTAATAGTTAACCCCTCCAATAGTTCTGTGAGAGCACAATAAACACATTAAATTTTTCTTGTTAATAAAAAAAAAGATTCGTACATGAGAAATAGAGGTGATTTTTTTAAAGTAAATTTCATAGCATTTTATAGTATTATAGAATAATGAAAAAAACTTAATTTAATTACCTCAAAGCCACCTTTTTCGAACATATTATGATATATATATATATATATATATATATATATATATATAATATCCGTTTAAGAAACTATCTGTTTTAAACGATCAAAAATTATTCTCTAACACAAAATTCTCGTTATCGTTACAGAGTTTTACCGTGAATTGTCCTTTATCCCGTGAAAATAAACTCTCACAATAGGATCACGGTCGTTAAATAAATCCGATTTAATACTTAACTTCAATCCTACTGAAAGGGCAAAGTTAGAACAAATCATGTCATCATTTGTCACAAAATGCGCATTTACACCAGATTCAATTTTTGTTGATTGGATGATGTGTACAATGAATTTGAGAAATAGTGTATTAAACTTGCGTAAACCACGGAAACCCTAAGCTCAACCAAGTCTAAATTTACTTCGAGTCGGGTGTACTAATCCTACGTTAATCCTATCATTAACACCACTCTCCGAACCCTTAACAACCCCTTGGATGTTTTATTGACTTACGCTCAAGGTGATAAATACAATAAAAAATGAATAAAAATTATTTTACAATAAATATGGGTCTGAAATTTTGGTCTACCTACCTCGTTGGGTTGGTCAACGCGTTTCGGCATTTCGTAATCTTCTTTGTATCTGTGAGTTCTGTAAAATTAAGTTAATTAGTAGTACATGAGGGTAGGGTGTGTATGTCGGCATTTTATTTGTTTGCTCGTGCCTTTAGTGGTTCCGGTAGGTGTGTTTGATCGTCTGTTCTTTTTCTTTTCTATGGTGTTTTGAATGATGTAAACGATGATTGTGAACGGTTTTTGTGTTCATCACTTTTCTTAGTGTTAAATGTTGGTATATTTCCAAGTTTTCTAGTACATATGTTAATTTTTGTCGTTGTTGTAGGTCATGTAGTAGTTTCATGTTTGTATTATTTAAGTAAAACATTGGTCGAATAACTAACTTTTCTTATTAGTCAGGTCGGTCTTTGTGATCATTCGTCCTTTTCCGTTTTAATTGGTAAACAAATTAGTCTAATTGTGGATAATTTGATAATTTGTTTTTCTTTTTTAATGTTAAATTTTTCTGAATTTGCTATTTTCTTCACTTATCGTCCGTGTTGTTGTTTCATGCTCCTTAGTTGAGGTGAGCCTTTCATGGATTAACGTTAACATGTTTTTTATTGATCCGGTCGGCGTTTGTGATCGCCGGTCCTTTGTCGTTTTAATTTGTATAAACAATGTAGATGAATTTTTATTAATTTGTCCATTTTTGATTATTTTTTTAAATTTTAAATGTCCGTTTATTTCCAGTTTTCTTCATTTTTCGTCCTTTTTGTACTTTGTACAGTTGTTTCTTACTTCCCCGTATTGTTGAGTGAGACTTTAATTGGATAAAGTTTGGTATTTTTTATTGCTCCGGTCAGTCTTTCTGATCGTGGGCTCTTTTTTCGTTTTGATTGTTATGAATAATGTAGAATTGTTGCTAATTTGTGTTTTGATTTTTTAATGTTAAATGCTTATTTATTTCCAATTGTTATTTCTACCCTTTTTGAACTTCGTAAAGTTGTTTCATACTTTTTAGTATTGCTAAGGTTAGATTTTGGTGATTGAACTGGATTTTTTTATTGGTCGGGCTGGTCTTTCTGATCATCGGCATATTTTATTCGTGATTCGTATAAATTATGTAGATGATTGTTGGTAATTTGTGTGTTTATGATTTTTTTGTTGATAATTGTTTGTGTATTTCCAACTTTCTTCAATTTTCGTTCTTTTGTAGGTCCTCTAATACATTCATGCTCGTAAGTATTGTTGAAGGTTCCTGTTTGTTTTCTGTGAGATGAACCACCTGGTTGGATTTTACATCATTGTCCCTAAACAATGTTATATTTAATTCATTGCCCTTTATTTTTGTTCTTTCTGTTGATGTATTTGTTTCCGCTTTCGCATGAAACGGTCTATGCCTTTTTGTCAATTCGGTCGGTTTTGTCAATTTGTTTTATTATTGGTTTTCCGATTTTAGGCGTAGGCTTCAGTGCTGTTTTAGGTTTTTGTTTGTAAAGTATATTTGTTAGTTTGCACGTTCCTTTCCTTATATATGTGAATTTGGTTAATTTAATGTCTGTTTATGAGTGTGTGTTTGTTTATCATTTTTGTTTTTATCTTTTGTCAGTGTTTTCTTTTTACTATATCTGCCGTTTTGTGATTATGTGTTGTGTGTGTTCACATACACAAGACTTAAAAAAAAATGGACTTCAGGGAAATCACACTGACCCAAAACTTTTAGAGGTGAAATGCCGAAACGCGTCTAACAGACCTAGGATAGGCAGAAAAAAATAGCCGGGAACGACTAAATTATGACATTTCATCCTTTTTATTACGATTACTTACAAATAGAAAAAAAAGTTCATTGGTTTAACGCTATTTAACAAACACCTTCTCTAATATTTAAATACTACATATTTCGGGTAAAGTCACGTGTAACATTTGAGGGGTCGTAAAGTGCGCAAAGAGGAGGCTATTGAGTAAATATTAGAGTACAGAAGGAAAGGGTAAGTGAAATATAAGGTAGCTGGTTTTTGCAATAACAGACAAAAATATAAAAAATTCACCTTTGAGATTAGTATGCATCAGACCACACTATTTACAACAATTAATTAAGGTTTTTAGTCGAGATAAAAAAGTCAATGGCACGAGCGGGATTCGAACCCACGAACTTCGGCTTGATACGCCGCTGCTCTACCACTTGAGCTATCGTGACTTCGATCCCCTCAACTTAAATTATCTCAACTTAAAACCTTAATTAATTGAATGTTATTAATTGTTCAAACGGACCACGAAACTAGTGAATTTAATAAGTTTAAAATGAAGTATCCTTCACTAAAGCTCTCCGTGGCCATTTCATTTGTCGCCGAGAATCAAAATAATTTGAATTGTATGGCAAAAAGGAGGGAAAATTCAAAAGGTGTGGTTG